GCCAGCCCGGCTGCAGGCAGATCAGGCTGAAGGTAGGAGACACAGGGAAATTTTCCATGACAGAGGTGTGCTCCTGGCCTAAGGGGAGGGAAAAAGGCTATTATGGTTGGAGTGAATTAAATTACTGCTGGCAGGAGCATTAAACAGAAGAAAAAGAGAGTGGGTAGCGAGCTAGGAAAGTGGGATTTTAACTGTCTGCCTGGCTTGCAGCTTGTTGGTCTGGGAGTTGTAAAAGAGTAGCAAATGGACCAGGAAAAGGGGAAATCCTCGTCTGGGAGCCTTGCTGTTCAGTTTCTGGCACTTGGACATCAGCTCCTTGATTTCATTGAAAACCACAAGCCTCTGGGGGTTTGGGGGCTAGCTGGAGCTGTGGTGTAGACAGGGTCTGTGTGGCAGAAATGCCTCTCTCTTGGCAGTATGGGCAGGGATTCCCGATGTGGAAGGCTCAGGTTAACCTGGTATAGAGTCAGGGAGAGGGAAATTGTGTGGAGTGCAGGAAACAGTCCTACTGCAGTGCTCATGTCCAGGCTGAGTTTTCCTACCTGTTCCTGTCCTGTTCTTATGAACCTCAGATTTGCAGCAGCTTTCAGCAGGATCAATAGGTCAGGTTGTCCCATGGACCTTGCTGCCAGTTTATATGGTGAAAGCATCAAAGTCTTCTGAGGAGAAGCCATGAATGAGTCTGGTAGAACAACCATGCAGGGCACCGAGCTTTAACCACCTGCCTCACGTCCTCCGAACAAAAACCTGGGAAACCTGGTCAGTGTGCATCAGCGTTTTGTTGGGGGAGTTTAAGGAGGATCTTTAAGCAGAGTTGGAGGCAGCTGGAAAGCAGAAGACAGGTTTATTGTGAAGATGTGGTCTTGCAAGGGTTGTCCTCGGTACTTGTGTGTGATGGTTTCTTCCATTTCCTCTGTGTGATGTGTAGCCTGAATCCTTCCAGGGTAGAAGGATGGTCAGAAGACACTCAAGACTGTCCCCTGCTCAGAGCAGTTTGTTGGCTGGCCAGGTGCACTGTGAGGGGTTTTTGGACCCCTGTTGTGGCTGTATTACAATGACATAACAGTGTCTTTGGGTTTCTAGGCTATTTAGTATTACCTTATAAAAATAGATATTTAAATGTTCTTTACTAACCCCATGCATGACCCACACTTCTCAGTGTATTGAAACCACTGGGTAGGACAGCTGAGCCAGCAGGGAGAGGGACCAGCTCAGCCTGGCTCTTGTGCTTTCTTTTAGGCTTGGGTTTTGGCCATGAGTTATGGACCTAGGGCAGGAATTTGGAGGTATTTTTGTTCCAGGAAAAGGGAAAATTAAATAATTATTCACGCTAAATATTGAGGTTTGTTTTGAACAAAAATAGCACCAAAGTTTATAGAGGCCAAGTCTCCAAAACTCCAAACCAAATTTTGCTCCTGAATCATGGCTTTCAGTAGCTCAAGTCCCTTAGAATTATCTTTTTATTTCCCTTCAAGCTTAACCAAATAAATATTTCTATTAAGAATATTATTTTTGGACAACAGAAAGAAAGGGTTGATTTTGCTCCCATGCCCTTTATTTCCACGGGAATAAAAGAAAACTTTACAGGGGGGGGAGAAAATCTGGACTGATTGTAGTGGGGGGGGATGACCCAACCAAACCCTTGCCTGCAAAGGTGAAGAGTAGTTTGCAAGATTTTCTGCAGGAATTTTTCCCTCATGTTCCCCAGTTTGGTATATGCTTTACCTATACTTTTCATGAGGAACTGATTTTACCTAGACCTTGCTGCACAATCGCCTACAAAGCCATTACTGACTCCAAGAATTAATTTTCAGGAATAATTTATTTGGTTTGATTATCCACTTCCTGCACCTTGAAGAAGTGCAATAGCTCAGGGAAGGGTGTTTAATTGTGGCTCCTTTGACCCCAGGTGTCATTGCCTGGTGTCCTGGGCTGGTTTTCGTATGGCTGTTGATCCTGTACCCAAGCACCATGGTGCCTCAGCTCCTGCATGTGTGCTAGCTGTGGTTACAAGCACAGAGTTGTCAGAGTCTACTGCTTCTGTTCTCCACCACATGTTCCTCCTCACGTGAGGAAATTCTCCCAGGATAAAAGGATTTCCTCCCCTGCAAGTGTTGTTGCCTCATCTTAAGGTACTGAGCTCTTATGTGAGTGACTCAATTCACCTTCTGGTGGTGAAGCTAAGTAGTTGTGATGGGAGGGTCTCTCAAGCTTCTTCTGACGGTCTCCACCTGGGACTTTGGAGCATGGAAGGGTTCAGACAGAGATGTGCTGATGGTGGGAATGAGTCCAACTGTTGCTATTTCAGGGCAGCAGTATACATACAGCATTTGGATGTCCCACATGTTTGGTTGTTAGTTGGGGTGTTTCAGGGTCACGCTAAGAGCACCATCAACAGGTCATCTATCATTGAGATATCCCTCAGAGGCCAGTGCTGGCTGGAGGATGCTCTGAACTGCTCAGTGGGACAGTCCTTGGGTGAGGAACCAGGACTCCCACCCCCTGTTCTTCCTTGCACATCCCAGAGGTGGCTGAGATACTGCTTCATGACTAAAGGGAGGGCTTTGCAAACAAGGATGCTCCAAATGCAACTCTGCCCAGTGTAGATACCTAGGCTACTGTTTCACCCAAGACAGGGCAAAAACACTGGTGTCTGAGCATGGCCTCGTTAAAGAATGTGAACATCCCACCAAGTTATCTTCATATTGCATGCAGTTCAATAGAAATATTTTCTAAACCATGTGGTTGCAAAGAGCAGCTTGGAAATGTGAGCTGGGTACCACTGGTGTACCCTGCTTGGGTGCATGGAGTGCTTGGAACAGCAGCTCTCTGAGGGTGCACAGCCCCTATTCCTCTGCAGTGAAGCAAGTTCACTCGTGCTGTAAAGTGATATTTCTAAAGGAGGGTGCAGCTCTACTGCAAATGGTTTGGGGGCTGAAGGTAAAAAAGCAGTGAAAATCATTCTGCATACTCTGTTAGGATGAACTGATTCAGAAGGCAGCAGATGCTGGCAAGACTTACACATACTTAGTATATGTGATTTATTTCTTCCTTGTCACCTCATTTTAAAGAGAGATCCAGATTGCATTTGTTTGGTAGCCGTCTTTATTATAGTCTTCTTTTTATAAAAGATCTGGGCCAGAAAAAGCACCCTGAGTGAGAAAACATATGTGGGAATCTGAGTCTGTCTGGTTTGGCTTTCCTTATTTGATGGTAAAACACAGTTTGTTTCCTGCCTGCCTCCGTCCCACTGTTTTATCCGCCTGTCAAAACTAGTTTGACATCTGGGTCCTAACCCGGTGAAGTTGAGAGTGATTTGAATGGTCCCATCAGCTTTAAAGTAACTACTCACCAGCTGGAGTCTCAGCCAGCCCGAGATGGGGCCTGGGCTTCTCCCACTGCGTATAAAATGACATAAGATCAGGGCCTTGGACTGTAAACACTTCACACAGTTGGGTCTTCATACTCCGTTGTCCAGCTGAGATGTCTTTGTGCTAGATGTGATCTCAGGTGCAGGCAGCTCTAGACCCAGCCATACTGTTGGGTTTTCATTTCCAACTCTTTTTCTAATGTTTAGACTAATAAAAAAAGGAGAAAGTGAGCGATAAGCAAGGGTTGTTTCATTTGACTGAATGAAAACAGCCGTTCCTCTTTCATACCCCATAACCCTTTTCCCTCCCCAACCCATTCTTGCAAGATCAGAATACATTAAAGTCCTTGTATTGACATGAAAATCTCACCAGCCACTGTCTGCAGAGCTGAAAGTTTCCATCTCCCCTTGAGGGGGGAATTTTCTTCATGCATCCCGGAGTGATCTTTAGTGACTCCCTTCTTGGGCATCTGTGCTGCTGCCCTCTGTAGTGAGTGGGAAAAGTCAGGTCCCCTGACTGAAACTAACTGGCCACATTCAGATACTTGCTCAATTTCTGTGTGAACTATGAATCCATTTCTCCCCTCAGCTTTCCCAAGGTGAAGAAATGGTCCCTGCTATGCCCTTGATATGCTTTTCTCCCTGAAGATTTGTGTCTCTAAGGCTTTGGTTCATCTTTTCTCACCTGCTCTCTGCCCTCCAATCAGTGCCTGCTCTCCCGTTGTTATCCTCACTTAGCAGAAGGGAATCTGAAGCAGTTTACTCCAACAGCAGACCAGGACTGGACCCAGCATGGCTTTGTTAGACCCACGATTCCCTGCCTGAGCCCTGGGGAATGGAAGAAGAGCCGCAAATATCAGCAGGCAAAATAAAGCAAGAACAAAACCACACGCAGACACAAACAGGAATGAGCGATGGTGGGAAACAACCTGGTTGGTGAATTCAAAACCACTAGGACATGCTTAAACAGCTGAAGAATCTTTTCCAAAAGGCTGGCTTGGTTTTTGGTTTAAAAAGGAAGGGAGGAGATGATACAACCTGGTGGGATCACCTCCTCACTCCAGTGAAAAAAGGCTTTTATCCCGCTCTGCTATTGGAAGTACTTTCAACCAAATTACAGGGGTAAAAGCTGTGATTTTTACTCCATATGGACGGATCTGCTACTGCATTAATGGTATAGACATTTCCATCTGTGCTTGCAGGACGCAGACACGTAGTTACATACAAAGTTGTGAGCTGGCTATGGAAGTCCCCCTGGCTGGTCCAGCCCACCCTCATGCGGTGGCTCCCCTACCTGCTCCAGGCCGGGCTGTCCATGGATGGACATCTGTCTCAGAGGTGATGCCATGCGCGGCAGCAATGGGTGAGGATGGTGTGAAAGCCCAAGGACTGTTTTGGTGCCAGTAAAGCAGCCAGCAGCACTCCAGTTCTGGTATTGGCTTATATTGTGGATGGGAGGCTGTGAGTCTGCCAGCCAGCTCTGGGATGTGGGATGAGATCCAAACAGGTTTTCCCTGAAACCCAGCAGGGCTTTCTGAGGCCGGTGTCTTCCTTCAGCTTCAGCCATGGGTTCAGCCCCTCTGCAGTGATAGAGAAATTCCTATTTCTGTCTGACCCTCAAATGCCACTTTCCTTGCTCAACCTGCAGGAGGTACTTGAGGGCACCCCCAAGCTCTGCGGACCATTCCTTTCTCCTAAGGGAAAAGAAAAACCAAACCAACCAACCTTTTCTCAGTCTTTCCTTACCTAAGAGGTCTCACCAGGCTGCGAAGTAACTAAACTGAGGGGCTTGGTTTTGGAGAGAAACCCCCGGCTGGGCCGGCCTCTGAGCGCTTCTCGCATGGTAAGAAAGACAACGAAATCCAAGCGGTGGGGAGATCCCGGCGGTGGGTTACCTGCTGTGCTGCTGGGGGCTGCCTGCCGCACCAGTCTCGCCCCGGTCTGGCTGTGGGGACTCGCTTTGTTCAGTTTTTCCCCTGGGAGGAAACACCCGTTAAAAATAAAGTAAAAGATGGCCCGGGAGCGGAGCCGGCAGCAGCGCTGGCACCCGGGAACCTCAGGGAGGGACCGCTCGGGGGCATGGCTGCGAGGTAGAGCCTTATGGAGAGGCTGGGGGATTTAGCCATGGGATTCAGGACCCCTCCCCAGGGGCCTCCTCCTCCCGCCGAGGAGAGGGGCCGGGGCGGGCCGGGCACAACACACCCCTCTGGGGGGGGCGGCCGCCCTATATATTGCCAAGCTGCTCAGGACGGACCTCCCTACCACCGGGAGCTGCCGCGGCGCCTGCCCCCCTCCCCGTCCCCTCCCTTTTCCCCCTTCCCTTCCCCTGGGGGGGGGCTTTTTCTCCCGCAGCCCCCCCGTCCTCCTCCGAGGAGGAAGGCGAGGGCCGTATATGAACGCGGCCGGCTTCCCCTGCCTCAGAGGCATGTGCACGCTGCCGGCGCCCAGCCCCGCCGCTGCGGCCAGCCCCGGCTCCCCCGGGCCGCCCCGGGGGTCTCCGTCGGTGAAGCCGGAGCCGCGGGGCGTTGGGAGCAGCCCTCCGCCGCCGCCCCCCGAGGAGCCGCCGCCTCCCGCCGGTGGCCGCCGCAGGAAGCGGCCGGTGCAGCGGGGCAAACCCCCCTACTCCTACATCGCCCTCATCGCCATGGCCATCGCCAACGCCGCCGAGAGGAAGCTCACCTTAGGGGGCATCTACAAGTTCATCACCGAGCGCTTCCCCTTCTACCGGGAAAACCCCAAGAAGTGGCAGAACAGCATCCGCCACAACCTCACCCTCAATGACTGCTTCGTCAAGATCCCCCGGGAGCCCGGCCACCCCGGTAAGGGCAACTACTGGACGCTGGACCCGGCCGCAGAGGACATGTTCGACAACGGGAGCTTCCTGCGCCGGAGGAAGCGCTTCAAGCGCACCGACATCACCACCTACCCCGGCTACATGCAAAACTCCAGTGCCTTCACACCCCCACCCGCCGGCCGCCCTGCAGCACCAGCAGCCCCCTACCCCAACACCCTCTGCTCGCCTGGCTATGGCCCCCAGCTCTCCAGCACTGTCTTCCACCCCTACGCTGCCGGAGCAGCACCTCCAGCACAGCATCCCAGAATGTTCAGCATCGACAGCCTCATCAGCGGGCAGCAGGCCCTGCAGCCCTCGCCGCCATCTGACCTGGGCCACCCATCACTGGGCTTGCCCGGGGCTGAGCTGGCTCCTACCTGCTCCACCAGCAGCTCCGAGCCTCCCTGCTTCCAGGCGCAGCCTGTCAGTCCCAGCTTGTTGGGCCGGGCTGGCCCTAACACCTTGGCTTACCCCTATGCTGCCTCACCCCCACATCTGCCCGTGGCACAGGGCAGCTACTCACCAGGCAGCCCGCAGCTCTATGGGGCTCCCAACAGACTGTCCCTGCCAGCCATGAGGCCCCCAGCCTGTGCTGAACATAGCGAGCAGCTCCTGGGGCTCTCTGCATCGTCCCTTGGCCAATTCAGCTCCAGCAACTCCTACATGAGGCAGCCCAATTTCCCCGCCAGCCTGGAGCGGTACATGTGATGGGGTCAGGGGAGGCTTGGATGGGTGTCCCAAAGCTCCCATAGGCAACTCTGGACATATGGACTTCTCCTTGCCATGGGGATTGGCTGGGGTGGGGTTGGAGGTCCTCAGGTTCTGGCTGTGTGCAGACACACACTTATGGGGTGACCTAACTCATCTCTTTCTCAGCCTATGTTTAGCTGAAGGAAAGGTGATCTATTTTCCTACCCCATCCTCTCTCGGAAAAGACGTTCTCCGGCTTTGTTTGCCAGGCAGGTCTCCCCATGCCCAGGGGGTGTCCATTCCCCACCGCCCAACCCCAGGGATACTGTCTGCAGCAGGGCACCTCGGGACAACTCTGGAGCAAGGAGGAGCACACCCAGGAGGTGGGTGCACGGTGTAACTGCAGGAACTGTCTCACAAATGGGCTTTCTTCCCTGGGTTCCTCCTGTATAGCTGGAATGAAAGTTACTAAAAAGACAAAAAACAACCACTAAACCAATTCACTGGATTTTAAATGAATATTTAAGATGTTTATATTTTTGTTTCCCTGTAGGAAAAAAAAAAAACAACACTGCTTCTTTTTGCTATTTTAACAAATAACTTCTACTGTTAGAAAAGACTTTATTAAAATAAAGCTTTTCCTTCCAACATGACCAGTGCGGCTGTTCCTCTGGCTCCGGCTGGACCTTGGAGAGCGGCAATGTTCAACCTTGTAACTGGTGGCAGACAGACTCATGCTGTTGTTGTAACACTTTATATGTCCTACATGGATAGCGATACTATTTTATTATGGGTTATTAAAAAGCGAACGGTAACTGACCACTGCTGAGCCATGCAAAGGCTGAAATAAGCTCCCCATCACCTGCAAGGCTCGCAAGCACAGCTCTTACTGGACTTGATGGTTTCCATTTGCATAGCAAGGAATGCATCTTCCCTTCAAGGAATCCCTTGCAGGTGAAATTCTGGTTTAGCACATCACATTAGGAGATTGCAGCTTTCCTTCCTGGCCACAAAATCAATTAGATTTCCAACCTGTTCAGTGGCCAGGCTGACGCTCTGTATTTACAGCACTGCCTGCCAGACTGTCTCGCCAGGTTTTGAAGGCAGAATTCACCATCCCTGGATTTAGCTTTTTCAAATTTAAACATCCTCTGGGTAAAAATGACAACTAGGAATTCTTTCTCATTTTTCAAAGGTGTTCTCTGAAGCGGAGGAGTTTGTGGTCTTTATTGCATCTTCCTCCTGCTTAAGGAGGAGCTGGACAACAGTTGAGCTTTGGGGCAAACTGCGCACCTCATTCCCTGTCTGCTGGTCATGACTGAAAGCAGGATGTACAGGCGGGTACCCAAGGAGTCAGCTTTACCCACAGCTTGGAAGCTTACGGTTTTCCATTCTTTTTTCCTATGTGGTCAGTAGAAACTGAGAGTGTTTGAGGCTAGTATGAGTGGGAAGGGAAGAAAATGCTTTTTTTCCTCTTTGCTTTCTTAAAATAGGGGCTTCATCTGTCTCTAAAACACTGATGTAGCCCTGGTCTGCTGCTTTCAGCTGAGCAATGGGCTCTGGGTCTCCTCTCTGGTCCTTCCAGCTTCACCTCAGCTTTCACACTGTTTCCAGTAGTAGCTTCTGTGCTTTTCCCTTTGTGACAGCCCTGCTTGGAATGGGTGTTGGGAAAAAACTTATCCTTTCAAATACTTTGGGTCTTTACAGAAGACATCCATAGAGATCTATGTAGTAAAAGTTTACCGCGTGCCATTCCTATCTGTAGCATACTGTCTGTATAGATGTTGGGGGGATGCTGAAATAGTCACTTGCAAGGTCAGTAGAAAGGACACTTGTCATAGCTCACATTCGTTTCCAGGACCTGATCCTGCAATGTTTTGCAAACTTAAGCACTTCTAAAGCCTTGTCTAAGTATCCAGGCAGTCAGAGCCAGACATACTCCCAAACCTCTGGGTTCGCCAGCTTCTCTTCAGCATCAGTGAGTGTTGGGCTGGGACTCTGATGGGTTTGCACCACAAGCAGGATGTTGCTGAGGTAGGAGAGAATCAAGCACTGGCATAAAAGGAAACCAATGTTGGTGGAAGGGGTGTGCAGGAGATGCTGCTGTTCTGCTGGGGTGAGATGCACTGTGAAGAGGCTGCTGAGCCGGGACATCTCAGACCAGGCTGAGCCTGCCCCAGTCACCCTGGAGCCTTGCTGGAGCAGGAAGCCGATGTCAGAAATGGCTTTCCAAGCTTCTGGCATCTCTGGGTGTTAAGTGCTAGTGGAGCCATGGGGATCAGGGTGCCTAAAGGGCTGGGCTGTGGCTTGCTCCTGTCCCTCACCCACCTGCGTCCTCTTGGCACAGGGCTCTCTGGAGAGCAGCACCCAGCTTCAGATGGGGAGGTTCTGCAGGAGACTTATTCCATACCCCAGTGCCTATGCAAGAGAGATCTCTTCAGCCAAGGGAGCTCTTGCATGAAGCAGGAGTCACTGCAGTGGACTGGATCCCTGGAAACCTGGTTTGGAGAGAGTGGATGAACATATCCTGGTGTGTCACAAACACTGGTGTGCAGTGTTGGGTTTGCATATCTCCCCAGAGCCCTATATCTCTCTTTCAGACAGCCTCAGCCCAAAGCCCCATGTGAGCAACAATAAACCACCCTCACCATGGCCTTATGCTGCCAAACAAGGTGGAAAGCACAGGGAATAGACCCCTTTTCTTCTTTTTCTTGTAGATATTAATCCTCACACGCACAAACCTCTGGCAACTTGTATTGTGATTGTCATTAAACTAATGCCTTAAGAGTGTCTTCTTGGTTAACTTAATGTATCCCAGCCAGGCTTTTAAGCTTTCATTTCAAAGCTTTGTTTACAGGTAGGGTGAATCTAGCAAATGAGTAGGATTAAAGTGTCATGTAAAGCATGAGCCTTGCTGGGACAGAGTAGTTTTAAGCTTTGTAAAGTTTATACCTGAACCCTCCATGTGTTTTAGCTTCTTTTCAATGTCCCTGTTTAGTGAATAAGAGGGATTTGAATGAAACGGGAGTAATTATCACCCAGATTTCAGTTGCGAAGCCAAGTCTCCTTTGAAATCCTCCCCTCTTTACCTGGGGAGTTTAGGGAGTAATGACAGTCCTAGTTCTCTCGATCTTACACAAAAGCCAAAAGCAAAATTTTCTTTACTCTCAGAGATTGTGGAATGAACATCACCCTTCAGAATGATGGCAAGGGGTCCCCTGGACATCCCGTGGTGGGGAGAGCCCCAACTTAGAATCATAGAATAGTTACGGTTGGAAAGGACCTTAAGATCATCCAGTTCCAACCCCTTGCCATGGGCAGGGACACCTCACACTAAACCATGTCACCCAAGGCTCTGTCCAACCTGGCCTTGAACACTACCAGGGATGGAGCAGTCACAACTTCCCTGGGCAACCCATTCCAGTGCCTCACCACCCTTACAGTAAAGGGCTTCTTCCTTATATCCAATCTAAACTTCCCCTGTTTAAGTTTTAACCTGTTACCCCTTGTCCTATCACTACAGTCCCTAATGAAGAGTCCCTCCCCAGCATCTCTATAGCCCCCCTTCAGATACTGCAAGGCTGCTATGAGGTCTCCCCACAGCCTTCCCTTCTCCAGGCTGAACAGCCCCAACTTCCTCAGCCTGTCTTCATACGGGAGGTGCTCCAGTCCCCTGATCATCCTTGTGGCCCTCCTCTGGACTTGTTCCAACAGTTCCATGTCCTTTTTATGTTGAGGGCACCAGAACCATACTATCGTATACCAGTACACAATACTCCAACTTGAGCCCATGAGATGCAGAAGCAGGGGTTGAAATAGATCCTGAACGCTGAAGAGATTTGGGTGGTGATCTGGGCTATTGCCAAGACAGTCTGACTACTCAGGGAAGATCAGGCTGAATTCAGATCTCTCAGCCTGCACATTCAGAAACAAATAACCAAAATGAGCTGCCACTTGGAAAAAGACTCCTCTTTTCCTCTGGGAAATACTGACTGTCCAGGGAGGACCAGCCAAGCTGCCACGTCTGTCTGCACATGACAGTGTTCTGTATGTCTCATGCTTGTACCACCTTTCTGCTGCTTCCCCACAGGTTAAAACAAACCGTAAGAAAGAGCCAATATTCCCAAGCCGTAAGTAGTATTTTCCATCCTGTTGCAAGCAAACACAGCATTAACTGGAGTTTTAGTCGAAACACATTTCCTGAAGAACTTGTCAGTCCCTCTGGTAGTGTTTGATTTTGCCTGGATGTTGGGAGCTGCCCACTAGCAGTCCCAGTGTTGGGAATTTTATACCATAAGTAGCTTCTATTCTATGCAATGCTTTACCCTTTGCAAATATGTGGCTTGAAGCCAGTCAGTGGTGTTTGTTTGAGGTCGAGATTGAGGCAGTGAAGTCAGGTGGTGATGGGGAGATGGGCAGTGGGTGCAGTGGAACTGGGTGAGATTTGCTTTCATAAACTAGCAGACAGGCATTAGCACTGCCCAAGCTCTGAGGTACATATCGGGCTGTAAGGGCTCTGTCCCCACCTCTGCCACACTATATTTGGGTCGTTTACATGTGGGTCCTTCATACTCGGGCAGGAGGTGGTGATGTTTGAACAGGGCCAGAGCAGCCCTGTGCTGGGAGAGGAATGAGAGGGCTCGATGGCCCGAGGGGGCACAGGCACCGTGCTCAGGCCAATACTGACCTCCAGTGGAAAGCCTTGGGAAGCCGCTCCAGCCCCCGCCATGGGCCCAGGCCCCCGGGGTGGATCTTAGTACGTACCGGCAGCATCGCGGCTTTTGAGGTCTGCTTGGAGGCAGGATATCGTGGAGGCTTGGGGTATGGTCAGGGTGAGGGTCTTTATTAAACACGGTGGGATGGTACAGCCTCCAGACTGGGGAATCCCTAAACCACCAATTCCTGACTCTGTGAAGGTTTCAGAAAGGAAGGATTTCTCTGGCTATACCTTCTTCTACCTTCTCCCTAAGCACCCACTGCGGGCTGTCACTGGAGACAGGATACAGGGCTGGGTGATTCTGGCTGTCCCCATGCAGTTATTCTCCCTAGAGTGAAAAATGTGGAAACAGGTGGAAGCACAGCAAGAATCTGAGCCTTTAATTCCTAGTGGGATGAGGGGACGGTAATGAAGGAGCACTTGTCTGCAGCTGCCAGCCTCATTGGCAGCCTGACTTTGTGTTTGAAACGTGCTGTGTATATGAATGGCAGAGCTGAGGGCTGGCCTGACTCTTACAGCACCCAAGAAGCAGGGCTGTGGTCAGGCATCAAAGTGGCAGAGCCTGAGCATTGGCTAAGTAACACCTACAAGGTCTTGGGAGAGCATCCAAGGTCCATGCATTTGCACTGGGAATGCTGGAATGGTTACACTGCAACAGTTGGTTTTATGCATGTATTGAACAAACTGTGCCATCCCAACACTAACAACCAGGCCTGCCTTGTAGCACCTTGGAGTGCTGCATGGAGGAGAGGTGTTACGTACGCACTTGGGAAAAGTCCATTTTCCACTTGCATCAGCTCTGCTGAGTCAAAAGAAGCAGTACAACATCTGCAAAGG